ATTTCCACCAGATTTGACTGAGGCTGTTCCCACTCAGTTGAATATTTAAGAAGCACAGTGACAGAGGCTTTTGCTTTTAAAAAAACAGGAGTCAACAAAATGCAGCACATGGAAATGCTACTGCTGCTCACCTCAGCTACAGCACGCGAGCTCCTACTGATCATTTTAAATAGGCACCTGAGCTGACAGGTTCAAAGAGACTTGAGTTGCTTTTCTATAACTTATAAAACATCATTTACTACCTTAATTATTAAGGGGTAAATCCAGAGAAAGGTCACATCCTTACATGAAAATTTTCCATTTCTACTTTAAAAGAGAACAAACAAAATGTGCCATGCAGATTCACAGAAATTTAGACCTGGAAAGGGGCTAGTTTCATCTAATTCATTTAAGGAAAGAACAAGTTCATGTGACAGATTAATAATCATGAACAGTTGCCTGTATATAAGCCACACTGAATTAGAGGAATCAAAATGTGACCTATTTGCTCATGTAAATATTTCCATTTAAAATATGCTTTATTTTCATGTTGCTAAGATGGAAATGTGGACTATTTTTGAATAGATGCAAATGGTCATGTCAATGTGATCTCTGTAAATTTGCAGGCTTCCAAGATAGAGCAGCTTTAATGGCTAACAAGTATTCTTCTCCCAACAACCAAGGCAACCGTTCTTCACTCTCTAAAGGATTTGGTATTAGCTTTGTGATTAAATGTACATAAAATGCAATTACCTGGTACACTGATAAGGTTGAACCTAGTCAAACACAGGATGTTTTCAACCAATTCTTATTTACACGGACACCTGTAGTTACACAGGGGTCCCTTCCACATATACTCCAATAGAAGAAATGATCTCTGAACAAATTTACAAAACCACCATGCTCCCTCACTGAAGATATCCCTTCTAAGAGTTCTTAAAAGCGATTTTCCCATTTGGTGGGGAGCACCTCCCCTCCCAAGTCAGGTCACGGGAGCGCCTCTCTGGCATCTAATTAATTCTTTTAAAATACTCTTCTAAAATAAGTTATATATATAAAGATATATACATATATGAAGTGATTTTCCAACTACTCTCCATACATACCACACCAGAAGGAGATTCTTCAATAATTGCTAAAATTTCCTATCAAACGGCCAGGCTCTAAAGAACTTTCTAATAAAACAGACAAAAGGTGAAGGGAAAATAAGCACAGGATAGAGGAGCTAAAGGAATTAAAGAAGACATAAAACTAAAGAAGGAGGTGATTGTTTATCAAAGTAACAGCCCATAAGTCCTCCCAGCTTTGACGCAGAGCACCCATTACATTTCATAGCATGTAGAGAAAAAAGAAATCCCTAAACTGTCACAGGATACACACGGCTGCCATCAATGAGGGCTGACGTCAAAGGCAAAGTGAGCTCTTGCAGTTGGGGAGAAACAACGGCTACAGGTGGCAGATTGGCTCTTCTGGCTGTAACAGAGAAAAAAGGACAGTGACTGAGCCCGTGTTGGGTATGCGTATGTCATTACCTACATAAAATCATCTACTTTAAAAACTTGACTATTAAATGTCCTGTCAAGAAGGTGTTTATCCGACAGGCCTCAGCTATAGAAATCAATTTTTAAAGTCTGGAGTCTCTCTGAATTTCAGGAGCTTGTCTGTACATTTACATTTTTGCATGTAAGCCCAGGGTCAGTGAAGATGTACAATAATAACCAAGGGGCTCATCACAGAGTGTGAGCAGTAATTACAGAGCAGGAGCAAGGGATTACAGTTCCAGCTCCTGGGATTGACTGGATCTTATATCTCTGACTGAAGGCAACTCACCCCCAACCATGCTTCAGCTGTAATAATAACCAGGCAGAATACGCAAAAGATAGAGCCATCAGGCCCTCAGGGTGGGCTGAAGTTGGTGCAGGGGAGGTTCACCTTGATTGGTAGGTTGTGCCCTCAGCACAGGTGAGGGGATGGTGGGGACTGAAAGCCAGCCTATGTTCTACGCAACAAGCCAGGGCTGTGCCCACCCAGCCCAAGAACCACCTGTTTCTAATTGACACGAATATACTGATCAATGGGCACACATTTTCCCCTGACCTCTTGGTTGCTCAGTTGAGTGTATTTAACATGCCCCTGCTCCAAAGGTGCTGAATCATGGAGAGTGGAGGTAGAAGTTAGAGAGGATGGCGTAAATGTCAGATAGAGAGGGCTAAGTTGGATTCGCCACCTTTCAAGAGCAGCCAGCAATAACCTTGTCAAGCAAGTACTAAGTGATATATGAAAGGTAGAAAAAAATAATAATCTTTGCGTGTTTTCTCTACAATGGAGCCTAATTCAAAATAGGTTTTCTCTCTCTAGATAGATAGGTAGATAAATATAGACATAGTCATCCAGGCACCAAAAATTGAGATAAATGTGTACAACAGGAGGCCATTCTCTTACACAGGCTTACCAGGCTTAACAGTGACATTGACAAATCCTTCTCCAAAGGCGTTTTCACTAGAAACAGCAACTTTGAAGACATAAAGTCCAACGGACAACTGTAACATAAAGAAAAGTTATACAATTCAACATGCAAGACATGATGGGTCCACTACCTAGAAAAAGCTAAAATGTCCCAGAAGCCACACTCCTAAAGTCAGCATAGAGAAGGGGCTCAGGAGAGAGTCTCATTTGGATCTGCCAAGTGGCTGCCACATGTTTGAAGCCTGAATTCTGGAACACTAAGGATCACCTATACAGGCCTTTAGCTTCGCTACAGTGGGCTTCACAGAGGCCTGGGTGAGATGGACCAGCAGAGGGCAGCAGTTCTCAAACGTGTGTATGGAATCTTGCATTTTTACCACCTAGCTCTAGTACGTTGGTTGCCAGTGGTCTGGATGCCACACTTTGAGAAACAGAGCTCCATGACATGAGGGTGATGCAAGTCTGTGTTGTACCATTAGCTGTGTGATTCCAGGAGATGAAGTCAACATAATCATCTGGTAGGAAACTAGACATCTAGTCGCCAAGTCGGTTTATATATCCTCCTAGGCCAGAAAGAGGGCATGTTTCTTGTGAGTGCTTGTATCATAGAGCAACATGTGATAGGGCAATTTGTGACCTGGAATGGAATTATTTGTAACTCTAGAGATGTGCTAGATTGAGAACCAGAGATAAGTAAAATGTCCTTAACACTGCAAGGAGAGCAAGAGTTAGATCTGGTTTTTAACCTCAATGCAATGCTTGTGGGACAACCAGGCTCTTTTCCCCAAACTGAGATATACCAAGTAGCCCAAATAAAGAAAAGCCATCCAAAGCCTCTTAACCATCTGCCTGCCTACTTGCATGGCTGAAACTTCACTCGTTCATATCCTTCTTTTGATCTTACCATAAGAAAGATGTTTGCAGCTAGGCATGGTGGCTCACGCCTGTAATCCCAGCACTTTGGGAGGCCAAGGAGGGCAGATCACTTGAGGTCAGGAATTCAAAACCAGCCTGGCCAACATGGTGAAACGCCACCTCTACTAAAAATACAAAAAAATTAGCTGGGCGTGGTGACACGCACCTGTAATCCCAGCTACTCGTGAGGCTGAGGTAGGAGAATCACTTGAACCCAGGAGGCAGAGGTTGCAGTGAGCTATAATTGTGCTACTGCACTCCAGCCTGGGCAACAGAGCATGACTCTCTCCAAAAAAAAGAAAGATGTTTGGGTTCAGTAGCTAAGAAGGTATTAACTGAGTTCTATGCCGTTATGCTGTGCTGTCAGACACAACCAGTCTCCAGTTACTTACTTGAGAGAGATTAAGAGTTTGCATGTGTCCTTGTTTTATTTCACCTTGGTAGTCTATGGGGTGGCTTATTAAACTCCATTCATAGCTGTAGGTTGTTTCTGAGAGCAAAAAATAAATATGAGTAGTTATAAATTCTGAGAGGTCACTAGATAACCTGGGCAGAGGGAAGATGACAGTCTTTAAACCACCAGTGCAGATTACCTTAGATACACTCAACTCAGCTTTCTTTTTTTTTTAAACTTATATATATATTTTTTGAGTCTATTTGTTTTTATCCCCTCGCTCTTGCTATCATCTTATGAACTTGACTTTCAACTATCAGCCAAGTAAAGAATAACACGTATCTTCTTAATGTAACATTTCTTTTTTTGTTATAAAAACATACAACTTACAGGAAATTTTTTAAATGTATAAAGTTAAAAAAACAAAACCTCCCTAATTTAACTGTTAGTATTTGATGAGTTTTTTTCTAGGAGGCTACATCTGACTATCCACATCAGTTTTAACATAGTATAATCCACTGTGCTTTTCTCTTTTTAACAAAAGGCAAGGACATTTCAATTCATTTGATCTGTTGTAGGGCTTTATTTAAGGACACAAAAACAGAGTATAAACATATCTATGTTAAGATGAAACTGTCTCCCAGCTTCAGATATTAGTAGTTAAAATATAAGATACCTCATCTCAAAGGATTAAAATGCAAATGCCAAATATTATCATCTCTGTGTATAAAATTTTGACCAATATGTGATGGAGAAAAAAATGAATTAAGGAACTAAGCCGAATGAGAAATAGTCAAACACCTTAAGAACAATGCATTTGACAGGCCACAAGTCCCAGGTCAAATGCTTACTGAATGGTAGAGCACTGGACAAGTAGAAGAAAGAGCATTTTGAATAAAATTTTTTGAGCAGCTAGTGTGAGGCATCCTGAGAACCTCAGAGCCGTGATTGTCAACGCCACAGTATCTGCAAACAAACCTATGGGTGCACGCCACTTCCCTCTCATCCCGGTGGAATCTTCCCAGGTTCTATGGGTTATCACAGGTCAAGAACTGGTACATGGCAACCTCTCCTGATCTGCTTTGTATCATCAGAAATGTATGACTTTCCATCCTGATCAATTAAATGATACATACTATACTTAATTTCCTAGATTCTTACTCCATTTTAAACTATTTCAACAAATTTTGATGTTTAAGGATAATCAAAGCCTTGTCTTCCGCCTTTGTTTGTGACGTTGTGCAACGTTGTGGAAAAGAATCGGCATTGTAAATAGTCTGTAAGGACCTGCTAGGGAAGAACACTCCAGTTCCTAGCGGTCAGGAAGGAAGGTTAAGCTCTCACCTGCAGGTGGCGCTGGCACAACAAAGGCCTTCAGTTCAACTTCATTGTCCGGTAAAGTTATAATTAGGTTATCTCCAGCCGATACCATAAGTTCTTTCACTAAAAGTTAATTAGAAATAATACATGCAATTATATAATATAATTTGTTACATTACTGCTCTACACTAGATCTGTTTTTAGTATCCATACATTAAAATAGCATATGTTTTTGAAATATTTCTTCGTAAGATTTTAGCTAAGGCACATTTTTCCTCTGGCTAGAAATTGAACTGCACACTGTATTATAGTGCAGGGTTTTAAACCACAAATATGAGTTGGCACTGTGACAAAAATAATGATTCAAATTGACTGAGCAATGTATTGGGTGACAAGAGTTGCGTGAAACAGGTTTCACGCAATTGTGGATTGGGTCCATTTTCTCCCTTGCTACCAGCTTTTCTTGACTCCCTGGTGTGAGCTATTTTTAGTTATAAAAAGATTGAGTGTAATCCTAAGTGTTTCTGTCTCATTAGTCACACTCCACTCAGTTCTGATAGTAGCCTCATGAATTACTGCTAATGACCTTGTATTTGGAACCTTTCCAAGACAAAATCCAGTCCCTCAATATAAAAAGCCTATTTTAACTTAAGCAGCAGGAACATTAAGTCTTATCAAAAGTGCTTAGCCACCAAGTAAACATTCAGAACAATACTTGTTTACTTTCTCTATAACCAGATTACATTGATATATTCATAAATTCTATCGGTTTGACTCCATTGGACATTAGTTTCACTTGTAAAATATATTGTGACATGTCCAGACACCACACAGAGAAAAGCAGATTTTTAAAAAAAGCTGGGTGCTCTCCAGAGGGATCAGCTGTGAGGAGATGTCAGACAGGTTGTTCATTTAATCCACTCCCCACCTCTCAGTCCTCAGTCCCTCGAGTGCCTCCTAGATCAGCTGCAGGGGCTCTCAGTGGCTTTGCTGGCTCCTCTCTTGTCATTTTCACTAACTCTTTATCCTGAAAGTCAGCAACTGTAGACCTAGAAAGGACATTGACCCAAACCTATCATGTTGTAGACGGGGAAATTAAATCCTAGAAAAGCAAAGTTGTCCAAAGCTGTATGGTAATTAGCAATAGGTCCACCAATATTTAATTAATTTAAATGTATGTATTTCAACAAACACTTATATATCAGATTAAAGTGTGCTAGGCATTGCCCCAAGGGCTTTTTTTTTTTTTTTTGAAGGAAAATTTGAATTTTAATTATTTTTATGTACAGAAAACTCAACAGTGTACATTTAACCCAGCTTAGTGGCAAGTTCTTTAGCCTTTGCCTTTTCGAGCTTGGCGATACGAGCCACAGACTTGGGACCCAGGACATTGCGGCCCCAGTGACGGCGGATCTCATCGTATCTGTCGTTGTAATTGGTCCTGATAGCTTCCACCAGCTTAGCCAAAGCGCCTTTGTCTTCCGAGTTCACCTGTGTGAAGGCGACAGTGGTGCAGGTCTTCCTGTGGACTAGACGGCCCAGTCTGGCCTTCCCCTTGATAATGCAGTAAGGGACCCCCATTTTACGACACAGGGCAGGCAAGAAGACAACCAGCTCGATGGGATCTACGTCATGTGCAATCACCACCAGCTGAGCCTTCTTGTTCTCCACCAAGGTGGTGACGGTGTTAACTCCTGCTCGAAGGACAGGTGGTCTTTTAGTGGGGACATCCCCTTTGCCAGCAGCTTTCTTCTCGGCCCGGGCCAACAGCCTCTGCTTCTTCTCTTGTTTTGTCTCTGGTCTGTACTTGTGGGCCAGATTAAGCAGCTGAGTAGCTGTTTGGCGGTCCAGGGCCTGGGTGAACTGGTTAATAGCAGGAGGCACTTTCAGCCGCTTATAGAGGATGGCTCTCTGCTGCTGCAACCTGATATAGCGAGGCCATTTCACAAAGCGGGTGAGGTCTCTTTTGGGCTGGATGTCCTGTCCAATGCCAAAATTCTTAGGTCTTTTCTCAAACAGGGGATTCACCACTTTCTTGGCCTCCTGCTTTTTCACGACAGCAGGGGCCGGAGCCACCTTCTTTCCCTTGGCCTTCTTTCCTTTCAGCATCTTGGGCGGCGGGAGGAGAGAGCGCCCCAAGGGCTTTAAAATGATCAGTTCATTTAATCCTCATTACAACTGTATGCAGTAGGTTCTATTAAAATGCAAAGATCCTGGACCAAACTCCCAGGCCAGTTTCTTTTTCCGTATACTACACAGCTTCTCTTCCACTATTATCTTTCTCTCTGTGGAAGCTCAGGATCAAAGTAAATACAAAAGTTAGAGAGAGTAATCTCCAAAATACATTGCCCACAGAAAAGCTCAGGAAACATGACCCTTAGGTCTTGTATATTCTAATAGCTTCCTTATTGGAAAATCTAATGGAAGCTTTGCAATCCTCACCATGACCTCTGCAACACATGGAGCTTTGATACGTCTTCATTTTTGGAACTACAGGAGACCACAACATGCCACCCCAAAATATGATTTGTGAAAGGGAAATAAATCTCGGGACCCCCAAATCACTAAGCCAAAGGGAAAAGTCAAGCTGGGAACTGTGTCAGGCAAACCTGCACCTCATTGTATTCCTAAACAAATACATACAAAGATTTAAAAAAAAAAAAAAAAAAGCTACATGCCTCCCTTATAATTTGCCCACAAAGAAATTCCTTGTGGGCCTCAAGATCCTTGCCCTAAAACAGTTTTGTGGAATTTCACCCTGGCAGTGTAAATCAATAGCTTATCTTTACAGGTGCAGGGGGTGGGGAAAAGGACAGAGCTCAGTCATCCCTCTGCTCACCTGAGACAAATGCATATCTAATTGCTTCCTCTGCCCTATTGTTTACGAAAAAATACACATTCACTGAGCCAGACAAGGCATAAGTGACTATTCCTCTACCCCCTCTCACAAGTAAATTGTGTATTCAGTGAAAGACTGATCAAAGACTCAATGCAATATTTGTCTCTTATCTACCTGTGACCTGAAAGACCCCCTTCCAGTTGTCATGCCTTTCTGGACTGAACCAATGTACATCTCACACACACTGATTGATGTCTTATGTCTCCCTAAAATGTATAAAACCAAGGTGGCCAGGCACAGTGGCTCACACCTGTAATCCCAGTACTTTGGGAGGCTGACGCAGGTGGATCACTTGAAGTCAGAAGTTCGAGACCAGGCTGGCCAACACAGAGAAACCCCGTCTCTACTAAAAATATAAAAATTAGCCGGGCATGGTAGTGGGTGCCTGTAATCCCAGCTACTTAGGAAGCTGAGGTAGGCAAATCGCTTGAACCTCGGAGGCAGAGGCAGCAGTGAGCCAAGGTCATGCCACTGCACTCCAGCCTGGCCACAAAGCAAGACGCCATCTCAAAACAAACAAAAAAAAACAAGCTGTACCCTGACCACCTTGGGTACATGTCATCAGGACCTCCCGAGGCTGTGTCACTGGTGAGTCCTTAACCTTGGCAAAATAAACTTTCTAAATTGATTGAGACCTGTCTCAGATACTTCTGGTTCACAGACTATAAGAAACTAGAATATGCCATTGTAACTATAACTCTATTATATAAGGATTATTTTGAGCTCTGTGTTTTTTTGTTTTTGTTTTTTTGTTTTTTAAAGAAACACCAGACCAAGAGGAGCTCTGAAAACAGAGTACAAGTTACTCCTTTGTAAGGGAAATTTATATCTATAAAGGAAATCTCCATTTGTAAGGGTATCTCTCCTTCTATACTAGGAAGAGAAGGGTGACTAAATTCCAGGAGATCCACATCAATAGAGAAGGTCCTGACAACTCTGCATGATAAATCTCACTCTTGCTTACTTTACTTATTCTGGGCACCTTTGGCCACTTGCCTTCCCCACTATCTTCTTTCCTTGTTTTAATTCAAGATGCTATATAAGCCAGAGTTCCAGGCTTATATAAGCTTATATAATGTAATAAACCTCTTTGAGATTTCCTCATTTCCCTGGGTATCTCCCACATGTAGGTAAGATGTAGTTATAAACTCGTTTTTTGTTTTTTGTTTTTCTCTTGTGAATCTATCTTTTGTTACAGACGCACTAGCCTAGAACTTAGAAGGGTAGATGGAAAATTATTCCCTCCTCCTCGATAGAACTCTCTCCCTCTAGCTTTCCTCTTTATCTCCCACCTCTCTGGCACAACTACCCAATCAGTTTTGCAGGCTCCTTCTGCACTTCCAGCTCCTTACGTAATGATGTCCCCAAAGTTCCAGTCCTCAGGCCTCTCCTCAGCTCACCCCCCTCTCTCCCTGGATGATCTCCCATGTTCCCCATGTCTCCAACTATCACCTCCACACTGATGACTCGCAATCCTTTATCTTCAGCCCAAGCGCTCATCTAATTTTAATTCTGTATTTTCATATGTCTTAGCGTCCTCTTCCTTTACATCCTTACATTCATTCAATCACTCATCAAATCCTTGTGAATCTGCTCCCTTCCTGTCTCCTAAATCTGGTTCCCTCCCTCCATCTCTGCAATCACTCACCATAGCCTTTTCATGGATCTTGTTGCCTCTAGTCAACTCCACACTATTTTCTTTTTTTTCCCTTTTGTTTTTTTTTCTTGGGATGGAGTCTTGCTCTGTCGCCCAGGCTGGAGTGCAGTGGCGCAATCTCGGCTCACTGGAAGCTCCACCTCCTGGGTTCACGCCATTCTCCTGCCTCAGCCTCCCGAGTAACTGGGACTACAGGTGCCCACCACCATGTCTGGCTAATTTTTTGTATTTTTAGTAGAGATGGGGTTTCACAGTGTTAGCCAGGATGGTCTCGATCTCCTGACCTCAGGATCCTCCCACCTCAGCCTCCCAAAGTGCTGGGATTACAGGCATGAGACACTGCGCCCAGCCCCTTTTTATTCGTTTTTTAGTTTTTTCAAGACCGTTTTGCTCTGTTGCCCAGGCTGGAGTGCAGTGGAGTGAACTCGGCTAACTGCAACCTCTGACTCCCAGGTTCAAGCAATTCTCCTGCCTCAACCTCCCAAGTAGCTGGGATTACAGGTGTGTGCCACCATGCCCAGCTAATTGTTTTGTATTTTCAGTAGAGATGGGGTTTCACCATGTTGGCCAGGCTGGTCTCGAACTCCTGACCTCATGATCTACTTGCCTGGGCTTCCCAAAGGGCTGGGATTACAGGTGTGAGCCACCACGCTCATCCCACACTATTTCTTAATACAAATCTGATCATTTTGCTTTCCTGCTTAAAACCATTCAGGGATTCTCTATACCCATCCAGTAAAGTGCAGAATCTTTAGCACAAAATACACGATCTTTCCAGTTCTTGTCCTGCTTACCAATCCAGTTCCAGCCATACTGAATTCCTTACAGTTCTTCCGAAATGTCCCAGGAGCTCTTGTACTTCTGTTTTCTTGCACGGGCAATGAATGAGAGATGATGGTTGGGAAGCACTGAGCATATTGCCTGGCACTCTGTAAGTGCTCAGTAGATACAATGATCACTATTGTTATTATACATGTTGCTCCCTCCACCTGAACAACAGACCAATGCCATCTTTGCTGGCTCACTCTATCCTAGCATCGTCTCCTCTGGAAAGGCATCCCTGGACCCTCCTAGTGGATCAGGGTGCCCTTCTGCTCCCACAGCAACCTCTCACAGCACTTACCATATTGTATCAGAACCACCTCTTTACCTGTCAGTCTCCTCTCTTGGACTATGGAGTCCCTGAGGGAAAAGACAATGTCTTATTCATCTTTTTATTCCCAGTATGCAGAACCGTTTCTGGCACATGATAGATGCTCAAAAATGTGCCTGGAGGGAATGAGTAAACTTTAAAAGTTGTTACTACCAAATTCTACAGCCTATCTTCAGTACATTTCTTGAAATTGTATTTTTTAAAAGTTACCTGTCCTGGGAGCAGTGGTAGGAGATATGGGTAGCTCAGATGGGGTGGACCCAGAGGGGGCTGTGCTAGTGGGAGGTGTTGGGATGCTGTGCTCTGTACTCCCCAGGGTGACTGTGAGCACTGGGCTTTTCTCCACGGTGGCTGAGCTGAGCTCCAGGCTTGCTGGAGGAAGACTATGGGAAGGCATTAGAACCTATGGGATCAATTACAAGGATAAATTGTTATTAAAAAAAAAAAAAAAAACAGTTCAACTCTTCAAGCAACTCAGTGTTACCAACCTTTTTCATAAATTAGCTTCAGTAATGTTTGAAAAACCATGAATAATATTGTAAAACTCTGGAACTCTACACCATCTCTCTCAAGCACTCTCTTTGCTGTCTATTAGAAATATAAGGCAACTGTGGGCTGGACAATTAGTATAGGTGAACATACACAAACACTCAAAGAATGAGAAAGTAATTATAGTAGCCCCTAAACTGATGAGTTCAATGGACTGAATGTTTCTGCCCCACACCTCCTTCCACCCCCCAAAATTCATTTGTTGAAATCCTAACCCTCAATGTGATAGTATTTGGAGGTAGGGCCTTTGGGAAGTAATTAGATTATGAGGGTAAAGCCTTCATAAATAGGAATGGTGCCCTTACACGTAGAGGAGAGAGAGCTAGCTAGTTCTCTTTCCTCCTTTTAAGGACACAGCAAAAAGATGACTACCTATAAATCACGAAACCCTCACCAAGAACCCAACCCTGCTGGCATCCTGATCTCAGACCTCCAAACTGTAGTACTGTGAGATATAAATGTCTGTTGTTTAAGCCACCCAGTTCATGGTTGGTATGGCTAGGCTTTGTGCCCCCACCCAAATCTCATCTTGAATAATAATCCCCACGTATCAAGGGAGAGACCAGATGGAGGTAACTGGATCATGGGAACGGTTTCCTCCATGCTGTTCTTGTGATAGTGAGTTCTCACGAGATCTGGTGGTTTTATAAGCATCTGGCATTTCCCCTGCTTGCTCTCTTACCTGCTGCCATGACTGTAAGTTCCCTGGGGCCTCCCCAGCCATGCGGAACTGTGAGTTAATTAAACCTCTTTCCTTTATTAATTAACCAGTCTTGGATATGTCTTTACAGCAGTGTAAGAATGGACTACTACAATGGTATTTTGTCACAGCAGCACAAGCTAAGACAATCATTAAAGCAACAATTGAAGACAATCAAATAATTCAATAGTAAACAGGCTTCTAGAGTAAGTCATCTTTATTCATTTTATTCATTGTGTATAACCGATAACTTAAAGTTACAGAATTAGCCAAGTTAAAGTTTTTGAACTAAACAGTTTGTGCCGAAGTCTCATATCATGATAATAAAATATCTTCTGAGACTTTTAGTCAGTAACTGTGTGGGGCCAGGAAAGTAAAACTCTTAGACTAAGAATATAGATAGACCCACAGGGGCCATGCACAGTGAGAAACCCACAGAAAGAAAAGCTATAATTCAAATGTAAATCAGAGAGGGGGCCATTGGTGCTAATCGAAAAAACAACTACTCTTTTCTACAGTTGAGAAAAGTCAGTAAGGATATGGCATACATTTTGTGCTTGGAAGTGTGATCATTTATATCACTACTAATAGTAACTGAGCCCCCACTGGGTTCCAGATATTTGCTAGGCAACTGGTGAAACCTTCTGCAACTAAATTTCCAGAACCAGGGCAAAAAAAAAAAAAAAAAAAAAAGACGAAATGATGAAATTAAGCTGTATTGATCAAACTAAGGGAAACCAATTGACCAACATTTTAAAAATCAGGTAGTGGGTCTACTATATGATTTAAAGATGTTTAATTGAATTGAATTTTCAGGTATCCAGATTTGTGAAGTGAGTGCTACGGATTAAGCTGTTCATTGAATCTGTGCTCTCTAAGAATAGCATGAAATTCAGAATTACTGCAAACCAGGGCTGCAGTAATGTTATGTGTCCATAATATTTTATACTGGGGTCTTTGCAAATCCCATAGGATGAATTGAATTGAATTTTTTTTTTTTTTTTTAGTTTTATCAAGTCCTGAAAAATTATTGCCAAGTTGAAATAAAGAATGAAGGTAGACAGTGGTCAAAGAAATTAAGGCACTTTGGGCCAAGGTCACTAAGCCAGAAATGGCTGAAGGGGAAGAAAACCCTCATCCTGCTCTTCTCTAAAACATTCACTTTTCCACCATGCTGCCTCTCCAGGCTGGAATCACATGCCGATTCTTCCCTTCACTATTCAGAAATCCACCCCCAACCTCCAGCACAGAACTCCTCACTAAGTCATCAGGACACAAGGTCCTCTCTGACAAACCCCTCCAAAGAAAAATGAATCCTCTATGGGAAGCCATGAGCACGGCATCACCCATTTCAGCCTTCAAGTTAACCTGGGCCTCATCAGTAAAAGTTTCAAATGGCTCTTGTTTCTATGTTCTCTACTCATTTATTTTAAAACGACTTGTTTTAGGTGATTTCTCTAGTCTTGTCCACTGGAAAACACAGTTGCAAAAAAATGTCCTTTATCCTCTACAAATCTGATCTTGATTTATTTTTCCTAGATGTCCTATTCGACAGCACTATTTTATGCATAGTACTGTTATAAATATTCATGTACAAGTTTCTATATGGACATGTTTTCTTTCTCTTGTGTAAATACCCAAAAGTGGAATTCCTGGGTCATATGGTAACTCTGCATTTAACATTTTGAGGAAATGCAAGACTGTCTTCCAAAACAGCTGCACTGGGGCCAGCCATAATTGTTCACACCTATAATCCCAGCATTTTAGGAGGCCAAAGCAGGAGGATTCTTTAAGCCCAGGAGTTTGAGACCAGGCTGGGCAACAGGGTGAGACTCTATCTCTACAAAAATAAAAATAAAAAAATTAGCTGGGCATTGTGGTCCCAGCTACTCCGGAGGCTGAGGTGACAGAATCACTGGAGCCCAGGAGTTTAAGTCTGCAGTAAGCCATGCTGCACCGCGGCATTTTGACCTGGGTGCGGAACAAGACCCTGTCTCTCAAAAAACAAAAAACAAAAACAAACCAAAGTGGCTGCAACATCTCACATTCCCACCAGCAGTGTATGAGAGTTCCAATTTCTCTGCATTCTTACTAACACTTATTATCTGTTTTAAGTTTTTATTCTAGCCATCTAGTAGATGTGAAGTGGTATCTCATTGTGGTTTTGACTTGCATTTCCCTAAAGATTAATGGTGCTAAGCATCTTTTCATGTGCTTCTTGGCCATTCTTCTACGATCTTTGGAGAAATTCTATTCAGATCCTTTGCCCATGTTTGAGTTGGATTGTCTTTTTATTAGTAAGTTGTAAGAGTTATTTATATATTCAGTATACAATATTTATGGTGTATTTATCCCATTTTATGGTATATTTATTTATTCTCTCAAGAAAGCTTTACTTTTTTGATGTCGTCATCTGAAATACAAAAGTTTCTACTTTTGATTAATTCAAATTTACCATTTTTCTATTTTATTGCTATGCTTTTGATGTACTAAGAAATAATTGCCTAGCCCAAGTTTACAAAGATTTATGCAGAGTTTTCTTCCATGTCTTTTATAGTTTTAACTCATATATTGAGATCGTTGGTCCATTTTGAGTTAATTTTCTAAAAATAAGGTATGAGATAGGGGTCTAAATTCATTCTTTTGCATGTAAATATCCAGTTGTCCTAACACCATTTGTTGAAAATACTATTCTTTCCCCACTGAATTTTCTAGATACCTTTACCTAATTGAACTATTTTACATATTTTTTTGGTGAGAGTAGAGATCTTAGTTTCTGTCATCAATTCCAAACTTTGCACTGCATCAGAATGAAATAATGTTTCTTTTCTTTTTGTTTTAAGAGATGGGTTCTCACTGTGTTGCCCAGGTTGGTCTCTAACTTGTAGGCTCAAGCAATTCTCCTACCTCCACCTCCCAAGTAATTGGGATAACAGTTGTGCACAGTGTATTGGGCTTGAGTAAATGATTTCTTATTATGCTATGCATCTAATTTTTATGAACAGTTATTCAGAAATTGTCTACAAATCTAATGTACTTTAGAGGAAACTTTGTATTTCAGTGGAAAGCAGCATGTTATCGGTGGGGCAAGGTGGCTCACATATGTAATCCTAGCATTTTGGGAGGCCAAGGCAGGCAGATCGCTTGAGCTCAGGAGTTTGAGACCAACCTGGGCAACATGGCAAAATCCCATCTCTACCAAAAATATAAAAATCAGCCGGGTATGGCGGCACGTGCCTGTAGTCCCAGCTACCTTGTGGGGCTGAGTTGGGAGGACTGCTTGAGCCCAGGAGGTCGAGGCTGCAGTGAGCTGAGATGATGCCACTCCACTCCAGCCTGGGTGACAAAGTAAGACCCTGTCTCAAAAAATTAAAAGAAGATAAAAATAAATAAAAAACATTATCTACTGGATACCCCTCCAGGTTATCTGACTCTAGTCGTTCTTGTATTTGAGCTATTTTTACAACTCTGTAAGTTATAGGTTATAAAAATGATAAAAATGTAAAATAATTATTGTCTATAGACATGTAAATTCTCCTGCCTGCTAGAGTTTCAACTGAACTCCCTCCTTTCCTCACTGGAAACCCAGTTTTGCCTCTATTTGCACACTCATTTCAATATATTTTTTAACCTATGAATGTGCCTCTTCTTCAAGTTTTCTTGTAGGATAATTATAATCTAGTTCCTTCAGTGATTAATGAGTAGAATAAAATCTCTAACACATGTTCATTTTATAGCTAAACAATTCACAATTTCACCTATTTGAATAGTTATCTTTTAACAAAACCAACCTCAAAGAACTAATGAGCCAAAAGATTTTTAATAGAGCTTAATTTCAGAGAGTTCCATCTGTATAAACCAGGAAGTAAATGACTTGGCAATATAAAAGAGGGTATTATATTAACATTTACTGATATGAATAAAGAACATGGTTAATCTCTAATACTTTCAGATTACTTTTAATTATTTTAATTAAAATTGAAATTGAAAGTTTTTTCAGGACAGGCACAGTGGCTCACGCCTGTAATCCCAGCACTTTGGGAGGCAGAGGCAGGTGGATCATGAGGTCAGGAATTCAAAACCAGCCTGACCAATATGGTGAAAGCCCATCTCTACTAAAAATACAAAAATTAGCCAGGCGTGGTGGCAGGTGCCTGTAATCTCAGCTACTCAGGAAGCTGAGGCAGGAGAATCACTTGAACCTGGGCAGCAGAGGTTGCAGTAAGCCGAGACCAGCCACTGCACTCCAGCCTGGGTGACAGAGTGAGACTCTATCTCAAAAAAAAAAAAAAAAAAAAAAAAAAAGGAAGTTTTTTCATTTTAATCCAATTATAAGTACAGAAAAATATAGACACTTCAAAATTCAGAAAAATATAAGCAGAAAAAAACCTTCTGATTAAATCTTGGCTGGGCATGGTGGCTCATGCCTGTAATCCCAACACTTTGGGAGGCCAAGGCGGGTGTATCATTTGAGGTCAGGAGTTCGAGGCCATCTTGGCCAACATAGTGAAAATCCATCTCTACTAAAAAATACAAAAATTAGCCAGGCATGGTGTTGCACACCTGTAGTCCCAGCTACCTGGAAGGCTGAGGCAGAAGAATCGCTTGAACCTGGGAGGCGGAGGTTGCAGTGAGCCGAGATCGTGCCACTGCACTCCAGCCTGTGTGACAGAGCAAGATTCTGTCTCCAAAAAAAAAAAAACCACTTAAAAATGACTTCTAGACCTTTTTAAACATTTTTCATGGTTGAGATTATAATGTATAGTCAATTCAATCCAGCATTCCTAACTTATTCTAACATAAGCACTGGAATTTAAAAAAGGAAACCTCCTTTAAAAAATTCTTAAAGTACTCCCAGCTTTTTTTTTTTTTTTTTACTTTATTTGACCTATACTCAGCTTCCTCTGATCAACATGCTCATCACATTCTCAAGTCCTGACCAGTTTCCAAACAAGCAGCCTCCGAGCTCTCCAACTACCCTCTCCTCACCACACAGTTCTCATTGTCTGTCTCCCGGACCTCCTGCCATTAACACTCAGCTTTCCACCTGCTTTTGAAATCGCTCCACTGCAGTGACCCTCATTCTTTTTTCACCTGAGCTTTTTCATGGAACATTTTATGATGCTTAAGTTCTCTCCGTCATATCTCTCTCATCCTATCCAACTGTTCATGATGCCACGTGGAGTTTCTAGCAGCCAAAGCACCT